CGCACTTCTTTCAAAACGACTCTCATGCGTTGCATGATCTTTCACACTTCTTCAAGCTGAGCATACGGATAAAAATGAAAGCAGTAGGAATTTATCATTTAAATGGGAAAATAGGGAAACACTTTAAAACTTTTTTTCCATAAGGTCGAATGGTGCGAAGACCCACGGCCGCACCGACACTAAGGTTGCCTGGATCTCGACTCAACTGCTTCCTCTGCAGCTGTCGGTGTCTGGACTGTTATCTGTCGAACTGCTAATGTTCAACTTTGAAGTGAGTTCGTGAAGAGCCAAAAGGGGAAGTGACTGCTTTCCCGTTCTGGAGAAGGGTAACAAGAAATTTTGGAAATGTACTCAGCACTGGACTCAGAAATGCCTTAAGGATGGAGATCGCGTATTGAAGGCGGATGATCACAACCGCGTTACAGAGAGTGCAATAGCCGGTTCAATGACAGTGAGTGAAGAAATGAAGCAAAAAAAATTCATATAATATGGCACTCGTAACATCATCGCGGAAAGCGACCAATAGCCAGGGAAACAATTGGAGTATAATTTTATAATTGAAGGGAACCTGAATTTTATGGCTAATTGCGATCACTGGTTTGCTCTCTCCTCACCCTCTCTTTGCATAACTTATATCATTCACAGTGTGAGGTATCATGACGTGGTACCTTTTCGCTTTTGTTCGCATTGATGCCGAACCGAACCGAAAATGATCCCTCGCGCATACTCGGAATTGAAGGCTAAATCCTGCTTCGATTCCGACAGACTATGAAGAAAGTGCCGTGAATGCCTTTAATGATGCGTTTCCAGCTGCTAAAATGAAATTTAAAAGAATGAGACGATTTTCGGTTGCGCTCTTGTCCATTTTCGAAGTACAACTTATTCGGAATAAGTGTATATAACCTTGCTTTGGCACCGTGCATTTTAACGAATTTGTACCATTTTCAGTCGAACAATAGTAGGAACAGAGGGTAAAAGGACTCCGTCGCCATACCCCCTTTAATATCGTATTCACTGCTTGAATCACGGCTGGTATCGGGGAATCTCCCATTTCTGGCGACTCGTCGTATATCCAGACAGCATAAATGGCACAAATTTTCTCGTATCGGAACATGGATTTGGAAAGTCGGTTTCTCGGAACGGTCCGCATCCTCTTTAGATGATCTATACTGATGAATCAAATTCAGCACCAACTGTTCTATCAAGTGCGATTTACAACACGAATGTGTTGCAACCATTCCTGACCTCGCTGTGGGAAGAAGACTATACTACATATCCCATGAACTCAACCAAGGAAAGGTGGTACTCGAGTAATTACTTTCCATCCAACCGATGAGTAGCGGAGAATTATTTAGACATCGGCGTCGAGTATTTTGTCAAAGTATCCAGAATAGCAAGAAAACGTTCCGAAGTTGAGACCTCTATGTTGACACGATGTGATTCCATCTGATAAAGCTACTTATTTTTTCTTTTTTTCCCAAGCATTGCTGTAACATCATTGCGTTATTCCACAATCCAAAAATTGAAAAATTGAGTCATGTCTACAATAAAGTTGATATGGCTCAAATTTTCAGTTTTGTCAGGACCTTGCAGGTCCGTAGATTGGTGTTCGACCTGCAACGCGAAAAAAACAATCGCAGTGGAAATGCGAAGATAATATATAGGGTTTTATAAGAAAAAAAACTAAAATCTGAACGTGGAACATGATTCTCATCTGATAGTGTCTTGATTGAAATTTCAATTCTTCCCCAATGTTTACTCAACATTGCTGCGTCACTGTCTCAATTAGGACAGTCAGCTCTGAAGGCCGGACCGAACTATGGAATTAAGTCACCAGTAATTAGTCATCTTAAAAAGTAAAATTGAAAAATTAATCACGCCATGCCTTACATTTTACTTCTTAAAAATCATTCGCTGTTCTACGAGGTAATTCATGTCATAAGCCTTCTGCGCCTGAGCGAAAGTAAGTTCACGCTGACAGCCAATAACATTGCTGGAATTCCACAGCGTCTAAGACCTGACCCACCAACCGGGCTCGACTCGACCGGTCACGTGATCTCCCTCCCTTTCCGAACGCTGCTCCTTGCCTTGATAGCATGACTTCGCCAGGAGCGACTGTCATCCCTGTCACCCATTGAGCAAGTTGTGAGCTAGTGTTCAGTACTTCTTTCGTTGTGTTGCGACGGACGGTGGAAAAGAGGTAAGAGACACGGAAATTCAGTAAATATGAGATTTCTCTTCTGGGTCGTCTCGTCAGAGTTCTTGCTGTCGGTTAATATAAGAATCAGTTGAAGGGATGGGACTAGCCTTTCCATGAAAAAAGAGTGCAAAATCTCACAGGGGCAAATCGGATTGAGTGCATTGAATGCAAATCGGTGCATCCCTTACGGAAATGTCCTATAGGAAACCCATAGTTATTTCTTAAAGGAAACCTATAGGTTTTTGAAACACGAAAAACCTATAGGATCCTTTAGGATTCAATAGGATCCCTATAGGGTCTTATAGGACTCCTGACCTATAGGATTCGGGGAGGATTTTTTGGGTTTTGAAACCCAGGCATTACGACGGAAAAGGCGACCAAGGTTAATATTGGCGCAGCATTTCGGTGTAAATCAAAAACCGATTAGGGGTTTTTCCATGGTAGGGACACATGCACTATTAATACCAGTACTGCGGGGGTCTGCATAGTTTATGGCCCCGCCCCACGTATGTCGATGGATTGCACGTCTACTTCCTTCGGTAATATTCTTCTCTCGACCTAAGCAAGTAGAAGACGGAACCTGCGAGCACGTCTCTTTACTGAAACTCCATTTGGATAGTCTATCTATCTCAGTTTCGTACGTGGTTTTCAAAAGGAATAAGGGCATATTTCTTCACCGGACTCCATGATTCTATCTGGAAGATGGGGATGACAAATAAGGAACTGTCGAAGTTTATTGATTGCTACAATGAGGCAAGGCGAGACATTTGGGGACGTACAAAACTGTCTTGTTAGAGATGATTCCTTGGGTAATGGGAGGGCACTTTTGTGCCCTTTGAGAAATGCGAGAACCCAATACTTCCCTCTAGTGGCCTAGAGGAGAACTTCAACCGGAANTAAAGGAATATATAGGAATCCTATAAGACATTTTCGTAAGGGATGAGAAACATGGATTCATGAAACATGGACCCTTATCCGGAGCTCCAAGATATTTTTAGGACAAAAACGAGCAAAACAAAAACTTGGGTCTATTGTACCCCCTTTCTCCGTTTTTTTTTTTTAAGACAATCAAGACGTTAAAAAATTGTTTTGAATCTTTATGTAACTGTCAATAAAATGCATAAATGTGTAGGAATTAAAAAAAGGGTTAAATTAAATAAGATCAGGCGACAGGATATTTTTCGAGCAATGATCGCAATGTAAGCATCCTAGAATAAGAAGGAAACCCTCATATCTCGTGGGAAGACGCGAAAAATTCCATTCTTAAGCGGAAAATCCGATTCCGCTCTTTAGGAGCGGAATCGGATTTCTCTCTTGGAGCGATTCCGGAGTTTTTCCGCAATGAGAAACGCTTTTTCGCGAAACTAGGATTCCCATTTCGTATGTTGGACTTGAAAAATATTTTTCTTTACAGTAAAATAAATAAAGAGTGTCGCAAAATGTCCGTCGTTTTGAAACATTAAAATTTCCCCGAATTCTTGGATCTCAACTGCATTCTCCGCGTTTACTCATGTGCATACTTCTAAGAGTATTTTAAATGATGGCTCGGTATCATCGCATCTCGTTCTCATCTAGGTTGTGCTTCAAATGGTTTCAAATGGTTTTCATCGAAATATAAAAATTTTTAAACTCATTCATATTAAAATTTCACTCTGCCTTACTTGTGTGGTTAGAGTGTGAAATGTAGAAATATAGACTAGCAATTATGATTTTTAAAATAAGCTTTTCCTCTGATGGAGTCTCACATACGAGATGATGCAGATGCATATTAGTACATTACCAAAAGAATTCATGTTTTGTGTAATTTTATAAAATTCACTCTAGTTTTTGCTTCGAGTAATGGATCAAAGCCTATTCAATAATTTATATTTTCAGACTGGGAGTAGACTTTTCCGATTTTCTGAACATTTGAATCTCCCATGTCACAGTATTTCTCGAGAAACAGGAATTTCATCACTACAGGGTGGCCAAAAAAGGGCACTCTTTTTTACGTGCATTTTATGCGTGATGCTGTCACGGATATTTCTTCTGGCTACCTGTAATGGAAAGAAGAAAGGCTCAGCTACAGAATTTCTTTTCTTTCTTTTCATACCTTGAAAGATGACTTAGAAAAAATATATTGAATTTCGGTTACAAAAAAACGGTGTTGCACTCACCGACCGCATACAGCGGCAGGCACATTCAATTGTCCTTGTGACTTCTTTTCATGAATGCCAGGATGTCGAATGGATGTTGGGTCGAGTTGGTGAGGGCAACGCCGATTTTTTGTAACCGAAATTCCATCTTTTTTTTTCAAAATCACTCTGTAACGAAATTCAAGTCTGAAAATTGCATTTTGTAGCTACAGTAAGTCTTACTTCTTTCCATTACATGTAACCAGAAAAAATATCCTTGAAAGCATCACACCTAGAATGCATATTGAAAAGAGTACCCCTTTTTGGGCCATCCTGTACATATTGGCCAAGTGGCCAAAAAATTGTTTGACTGGGTATACGGGCGTCAAGCGCTTCCGCCATGGTAACATTCGCCGCTCTCTCTCCTTCCGGGAGCCATCGTTTGTGAGCTAGTATGGAAACATCTTGCGAATCAGAAGGTATGGAGCAAAAGAGATCAGATAAATACTGAAAGATAAATGAACTATGAACTAGGATTCGAACCAAGGAACACTTGAAGAGAACTGTAGTTCTGCGCGTTTCGATTCATACAAGAAAGGTATTCTTCGTGTACATTCATCACCGGAAAAAAAAGGAGTGGAGCGACCCGAGGAATAGAGAAACATAGCACCAGTTTTCTTTTCTTTTCACCTTAAGTCCCACCCGGTACTGTTCTGCTGTTGGGTATCCAGCTGGGAACTGATATGAAGTTCTGAAGGAAATTCCAGAAAAATTTTCAGCAATTTATCAACTTGGGTAAATTATGATGCTTAACATGCATCAACTTGATGCACGCATCAGCTTCTGCTCCTTATTGAGAAGTCATGGATGACTATGAGCTGGATTGGACTCAACTGTAACGAATGCATGATCTCATGGACTCTCAATTTAAGAGTAGGGAAAAGCAGGCATCAGGCATAGGTATGTGCCGCATGTTTTTTCTATTTTCTATTTCCTGCTTCAGGTATAAAAAGGACCTCTGGACCTTTGGGAGAGAGGGATTCCAACCTCCATTAACTGTACAACCTTGGTTACACCATAGTAGGCACTGCAATTATTGATATATTGATTGCTCTATGCTAAATGGACAATCACAGTATTTACTTTTCCTTTTGAGATTTCATGATAGGGAACTGCAAGAACATGTTTATTGGGCGCATAAATTTCACTATCACTAATGCATACATTTTCTTATGTATTTCTTGATACTGGAGAAGGAAAAGCGCGGGTAGAAGGAAGGTACAGACTCCTAGGAACAATCTGAGGACAGTGCCAAATCATCATCCAAGGATAGTGAGAATATCAAAAGTCATGACCCACTTTCATGGAACAACTCGGTGGAGTTGTTTACCCACCATGCAAAGCTCTTATACTGTTTCTTGAAATTCGGAACTAGATGAAAACCCACTAGTGTTGCATCCAAAAGTATCTCTATGCATTCACTGCAATGAGAATGACCATTGGATACCAGGTCTTGCTTTTCGTTTTGTTTTCTTGAACCTTTTGCTCATTCCAAACCAACCGAATGGATTCAATATACTTCCCACCATCTCCAGTAAAACATTGTAGTTAATTGCGTGAGCCATGCCACAAAAGCGGGGAGCATGATCTAGGTCAGCTAATGCAAGGAAGGAAATCAAAGAAACCATTAGGATACCATAGAAGGAAGTATCCTCGTGATATGGAAGCGTGGAGTCTGTACTTGTAGGAATGAGGGAAATATGGGAAGATTATTAAGACAGAGAAGAAGACTAGTCTTCAGCCATCTCCATCGGTTCCGTAAGGTTCTTAAAAGAGAATGGTATGAATGGATATCCTGTCCCTTGATAGAACTTGCTTTGGAACTCCACCCTGCAATACAATCATGCATAGACATATTTAATGCTTGGGAAATCTTTGGGAGAAAGAGTAGATATTATTAATATCAGGGAAATCTCCACCAATGAAGTCGAAGACAATGAAGAAAAGCGGAGAGTGCTTCCATGACGAGTAGAATGCCGACTGTGAGAACAGACCAGAATGCAAATGTACAGAAAAGCACTACGCCTCCCATATATCCACTCCACTGCAGACCGATGCGAAGGATCATGTCCCACAATACTTCAGACAATTCTGGTATAGATAAAAGATTTGAAAATTCCTTGAGGGAGGGGAACAAAGGCGGAAAAACTGGCACATTCAATTGACAATGAACGATATCCGCTCTTTCACCTCAGATTTTCTGATGTGGCCAACTCATATTGTATTCAACCTCTGAAGTCCCAGGCTATCCCAGATTTGTACGTTTTTTAAATCCTGCTTCTATCATATATATATATATTTACTAATATCATGACAAGATAATAAAAAAATCTGCATTTGTTATACATTTTGAATACGTGGAAGAGGTCAGGGATGTTAGGGGTTTTGTAGCATACGCTTTCTCTTTCAAAAAACCCCACAACCAGTAATCACAAACCGTCAGGTTTAACAGCAGTTGTTAAGAAAGGTCTAGGCTTTGGAATGATACAAAACTCATTTCCATCAGAAAAATAACACAGACGTAATAATGTACAAAACTTTGGGCGGGGTTTCTGGGACACACTGTATAAAACATCTCTATAGCTTGATCAGAAGGGAAGTTATCGCCATTTTGAGGGACGGGGTGCCACTGGGTCACAATCATACATATTTTCATAACACGTTATCTTCAGATCTAATTGACTGAAAACGAAAATATTTCGAGTATTTCACTTTCTTTGTAGTACCGAGCATTGGTCAAAATTTTTATAAAAATCGGAGAGTCATGTTTTTCAGTGTGCTGATTTGACGCGGAATGTCATAATATAATATGATATACAAAGTATCAAATACAAAAATTAGGTAGTTACGGTGTTCAGTGTATTGTCCCCATGTGTAATTTAGCCTGCCTATGTCCCTGTCAATGGAACTCGGGGCTCACGGGACAAAGAAAAACAAGGAACAAAGGAGGTATAGGTAGTTCGAGTAGACATACGGAAATGAGCAAGGGAGAGGGCCCAAAGTCGGAGATAAGATGCCGTGTGAGATATGGTACCCAAGCAGTATTCAATGGTATGAATAGCTTGATGCACAAACGTCTCCCCAAAATCAAATGGTTCGTCATCGCCGTGTCCATGCCCTCCTCCTCCTCCTCCTTCATGTTCACCACCCGTCTCCACCAAGACGGTAGTTCCATCTCCAGTCCCCACGTTGCTCCCATTTGTTTCCTATCATAAAAGAGACACCCGCAGCACGGAAATAACAGTAAATTTGAGGTTTAAGTGCATGATTGACGTGACGACTCGTAAACGACTAAGAAATGCTTGAATTCCAAAATGATGATAAAATTGAGATCAAGTAAAAATTAATCATTATTGGAATTCCAATGGGTAACCAGTAGCTACCAATTAAGCAATAGCTAGCATGAAATATGGGTCGAGCACTGAAGCCAAAGTTTTCAAGTAAAATAGATTAAATTTCGTCTAATTGAAAATTTGCCAGAAATGAAATGTCAAATTTCATTCATATTGCCCCGAAGAGCTAGAGGACTTGTAGAAATAAACTCCACCTTAGTGACGGTGCTTTGCTTGGCCATACGCTTTTTACTCTGCCTCAAGAGGAGCAAAGGCTTGGGAAACAGCATCAATGGAATGCAGATGAGAAGTAGTAGCACGAAGATCTTTTGTAGGGATTCCTGTGATTGCAGAGAAGAGGAAAATAAATCAGAATATTCATATTTCAGGAGATTTGCTGCAACTTGTTGGATGCCGAAGTAAAAAATTTTCTGAAAAATTTTTCAGAAGAAAAAAAGCCATGTTTCTGCATTAGACATTTCTTCGGTATGTTCTCTGACAACACTTCGATTACGCAAATACCATGACAGTACGGATGAGTGATTTCAAAGACAGAGATATTCCATTATACATCAAGTGTAGACAGTATAATGATGAGTTATGAGCAACGAGTAAACTTTAGGTTTGCGCAATATTCAAGCAAACGGATTAATGGAAGTTCTTCATGGAAGTGCTGCATGTTCGCTGACTGCATCCAACTCTTACATATACTGGTGATTGGGCGTTACAACACGACAACGCCCCGTCGCAAGCGTCACTTCTCATTAGCGAGTGTTTGACCCACCGTTCCATTACGGCGGGCCGTTACCATCCTAACAATATTCTCTTGATTTGGCATCATGGTCCCAAGAGCAAGACTCCAGGAGCTTACAAAGGAAAGACTGAAATATTGCTTTAAGTAATGTTACATAAACGTTGGCGAAGGTGAATCGATGCATCAAGAGAATATCTTAAAGGGGATGGGAGTTATTTTGATGTGGCCGGTAAGGAAAAGCTTCCCAAAAAAAATCAGAAACTTTATGACTGATGTAACACTTTCAACCCTACAACAATGCACAACATATGCTTGCCAGCCATGAAGCAAAAATAGGGCTGGCATTTTTCATTTTAAAATAAAAATAATATCAACAAAATAAAGCATTTCTGGGCAAGATATACTGCTTCAGGACCATCAACCATTTCTGACGTACCGGATTAGCAGAAAAGAAAATTTCGTGAGTGGCAAACATGCAATTTTGAATAAACTTAAAATATACGATAAGGCAAAAATAAAAAGGCTTGCATTATAGGCCTGGAAACAAATTCGAGAAATGTAAAGGCTCATTCATACCATGTAGGTTTTCTTTGCAAGTCGACTTGCAAAGAAAAATTTCGTGGGGTTTCTCAATTTCTCAATGCTCTGGAAGACTTCTTCGAATGTTTTCTTAAAAAAAATTATATTTGCAATATTCTTTCATCGTCTATGCAATAAAACTTTCAAGGTGCTGACGAGCCTTTGGGGAAATGGAGTGCATATCGGACTGCTAGACGACTACCACTGTCAAAACTTTCATGTGAGAATTGAGGAAAACATGTTCATGGCAGAAAGTCCTACAATGCGGACGATTACACCAAAAAGGGAAGGTAGAGACAACAACAAACCTGTCCGGCAAACATGTACGGATCACAGCATCCCGGAGTGGTGGCCGGATCGCATGCCGGTGGAGTTTTCAGCAGGACCATATTAATGAGGGTGATGAGGACGGAGGGAGCACACCCAGCCTCATCGGCCGAGTAGTAAGCCCACTTGAAGAACACTAAGACGACCATATAGCCAAAGAAAGCGGACAAAAACACGAGCTGTGGGAGGAACTCAAACCAGAGGTTCAGGGGCCGCTTGAAGTACCTGCATCGAGGGGAGACACATGAAGGCAAGCTTCATTCCCCTTGTCATCCATTAGATCATTTCCTAGTCTAAGCTGGATGGTGGTTTTGCTTAATCGGGATAGTAGATGTCAGAAGAATACATGAGGACATTTATATTAATAGGAACAGGTGCGAGAACAAATTTCCTCCTTCCAATGTCTTTTTTCCATTCTCTCCTCTTATTCATGTTTCTTGTTTTAGGTCTAATGGTTCCATGTTAAACGATTTGGACAAGCCCAGTCATGAAGTGGGCCTCGCTACAATGACTGTTCAGAACGTAAAGAGAATGTTGTAGGTAGGTCGGGAGACGGGTGGGGTGTACGACGTGCAGCACTGGTAGATACGGTACATTCGAGTAACCAGTAAAGGTCTTTCCCACCTAGTGCGTCGCGCGTCCTTCGTGTCAATGCTTGGGCAGGTGGGCAGACGCATATTCTTTAAAACGTAACATTTGCGTGACATTTACTCAGATGTCACACCTACATTTAAAGTTTCTAGGGTTGCGTAACATTTTCATTGATTTGAATCTCTCTAAATAAAAGTCAAACGAAAGCTACCGAGATGTCGTAACCTTCGATTAACTCTTAAAAGTGTAACTTTCATGTGACATTTACTTGGAAGTGAATCTTGAAGGTAAACGGCCCTTCAAAGTTATCAGGGACTCATAACCTTTATCGTCTTCTGGACTCACGTATGTGAAAATTGCTAAGAAAGTTATCAGACCCATATAACTTTCATGGAATTAAAGACCTCCATAATGATGCTTAATATTTGCATTCATAATGCTTATGTTATGCTTACGTGAAACGTTACTAACACAGAAGAGCACAGAAGAGGTTCGCACAGCCAGGACCAGATGGCGCCAAAGTTACCGCTATTGAGAGTCAATATCTGATACAGCAGGAATTAATATCTATCGGTTTCCACTAGGTGCCCGATCTTTCTACACAGGCAGCGCGAGGGAAGACATTTGAATTCTTCAACAAACTGGTCTAAAGAGGTAATATAGTCTAAGGATTCTCCATTAAACTGTGGCATGGGGGTTGTTTTAAGGATGGTTCAACTACCAAGACGACCTTAACAACGAAACGACCCTAAGTAACGAGTTCAGTTAGCAACTCTGGCTCCGACATGAACTACTCTTTTCGTTGGTCAATAATGGATTTGTCAGTCTTCGACAGCTCGAAGGCATCCTCTGAAGGGTAACATACCACCCAATTACCATATACTTGGGTGGTATGTTACCCTTCAGGGTAACATACCACCCAAGTTTAATATTCATGATTTGCATAAAAATTGTTTCTGGTACGAATTAACCCAAAAACGAACTCTTATTCTGAATCCTATCCATGTCTACCTGCATACCTCAGACCAATATTTTAAAAGATGTTTTCCTACAACCAAAGTGTGAGACAGACACAGAGGCTCCCATTGAGGACCAAAATCCAAAAATGAGGCCTATAATTTTTCGTTATGAGTCTCGGCCTACATATTGACTCTACAGAGGAATTACAATTACATTTGCTCACAGAAACCTAACCTCAATGCAGGCAGGGGGGATGGGGGGGGGGGGGGGGGGGGGGGCCATTTGGAGATGACGTTAATCTGTTCCTGTCCTGGCAAAGGAGTGGAACTAGAAAAGTATATCTTTATTTTAACTCTACCCTTCTCTGCAAATCATTGCAATCTCTAACAAAATCACTGAGGCTGATGGTAAATCTTGAGTTGGGAAAACTTCAGAGAAAGTTTACTATAAATAAAAGTCCTTAAAGCCGCTCAGTTACCATTTTAAAACCAAAAGCACTCTTTCATGGCTCATTCCACAAATTGGCGGCAAATTTTTGGAGATTTGGATCAAGAGACTCATAAAATCATAGGCCTAATTCAGATACTAGCACAGAGCCTTCAAACGCATATCCCTTAATAGAGGTGTCACAGAGGAGTGACACTGAAAAAATACAGCCTGAAATTTCCTACTTTACTTAGATAGACTTTATTCCATGGCTTCCTTGGAGATTTCTTTTATGGCAATTTTATCGACAGAAAGACCGATCTTCCCTTTGAAGATACGTCAGGCCACGGAAATTAGACCTCAGGGTACAGTTGGCATTTTCAGGCTGCATTTTCTTTTACTGGATAGCAGCAGACCTGTGATTGAAAATCGAAAGTAACACGCCAAACACCATCTGGATGACACCGAAGATGATGGAAAGCTTCATCTTGAAGGAGTTGTAAAAGGAGACCTTGTTCGCTGAGAGCCCCCATGCAGGGTCGAACCCGACTGCGTATGGATGTCCAATATAGTCACCGGAGTGAGAGTCTGGGTTCAGCTGGAAGTCTTTGATTTGCTGCAGGATGCTGTCACTGCAAAGGAGGGAATCTTCAATCAAACGTCGTCAATCGCATGTACTGTGGGTGGCAGGATCCCACCGGCTACAGAATCGCACATTATGAATGATCGTGGATTATCTTCTGAAAGCTTCTTCCAGCTCTGTGAAATTATCAATGTCTTTAATTTCTTCAAGATGTGAACATATTTCATACATATGAAGGGAAGATTTTTACTAATTCCACAAGAGCGACGAACGATAACATTTTCGCATCATTGAAGCTAATGCATCGTGCACGTTAGTGACAACGCAATAAGTGTTCAATGCCAAAGAGTTTATATTTGGAAATATCCTTATTTCTGGTATTTACCTCAAGAACAAGCAAAACACCAACTGTTGTGGCCCAGAGAATCTATGGTGACTCCAAATTCATATATGTTGAAGACATATATTCGTATGACCGATCGGGAGAAGGATGGGAAAATCAACGGAATCCCAGAAAGGTATCACGGTGCGTGAAATCTAAGCTAATGCGATCTGTACCGGGTGATTTGAGAAGGAAATGACATCACGCTCTTCGTGGTATATAATAACAATGATGCCGTAAAAAAAAAGCTGAAAAACATAATTATATTTGGAATCTGAAATAGATGAAAAAGAACAGAATTAAAATAATTTTTCGGATGATACTACTTTTTGCTCAGGTCTTCCGGTTCTGGGAGAGGAGGGGAGGGAGGGAGGGGGGGGGGGAGATCGTTGCGTCACTCTGTGCAAAAAATTACCTCCATAAAGTATAGTGGTATTTTCAATGGAACATGAGACTCTGCTCATCCTAATGTTGACTGACTGGATGGCTCAGATGACTGTTCAACTGCAAGAACAATGATTCATCAATGGAGTTATCTTTCGCCCTAAAATTCATCACCTTGGGTCTTCCTATCTTCTTGATTTGGACAAGCATAGACTTTATTTGTTCAGGACATTCAGTTCATAATAACGTGTCAAGATTTTAGCGTTTCGAAGCCATTCCACAACGTTCACGCTTCGTGGGCAAGCAGCGCTACTCCTAATAATGACGAAATGCCACAATTATTGGGGGTATCGGTGATTATCAATAGGCTTTGGTAGCGCCTATTGCCTTTCTTCAAGCCCTTCCCGCAGCGAAATTCAAACTCTTCGTATTCCCCTCTGAGAGTACCAACAAAATTTGGCAGGCATTTTCCTCTCACAACACAGAATCGCTCCAGAAAATTTGAAGCTCCATCTCCCCGGGGTTGTGGAGATCACTTCTTCTTCTACGAGCTGTTCCCACTTCCATGTGGGGTCGCTGCAGCAGACACCAATCTCCTCCATCTGTTTCTGTCCTGGGCATTCTCCTCAGCACCAATCCCTCTCATGTCCTTCCTAACACAATCCATCCATCTCCATTTAGGCCTTCCTCTTCCTCTCTTTCCGGGCAAACCCAGCTCCATTGTTCTTCTTCCAACATAGGTTTCTTCCCTTCTTTTCACATGTCCATACCATCTCAACCGTGCTCTCCTGCATCTTGATGTAATACTCTCCACTTCCAGTCTCCCACTCACCTCCTCATTCCGTTTTTGGTCCCTCCTCGTCCATCCGCATGACCATCTACACATTTTCATCTCCGCCACCTCCAACCTCCCGCTCTGCTTGCCTGTCATGGGCACCGTCTCCATGCCACATAGCATTGCTGGTTGCACCACCATTTTGTGGATCTTCCCCTTCACTCTTGGTGACTACACATTTTCATCTCCGCCACCTCCAACCTCCCGCTCTGCTTGCCTGTCATGGGCACCGTCTCCATGCCATATAGCATTGCTGGTTGCACCACCATTTTGTGGATCTTCCCCTTCACTCTTGGTGGTACCTTTTTGTCACATAAGACTCCCGACATTTTCCTCCAATTGTTCCAACCTGACTGCAACCTCAAACTGACCTCATCATCCATACACCCATCCTTTGATAGCATGCTTCCCAGGTACTTGAATTTGCTCGCTACTGGCACTAAATCGTTTTGCAACTCCACACTGCCAGATTCGTTTCCACTTAAGCACATGTATTCAGTTTTTGATCTTGACACTTTCATTCCTCGGCTCTCCAGTGCATTTCTCCACTTTTCCAGGTCTTCCGCCAGTTTCTCCTTTTCTGGAGCACACAGCACAACGTCATCACATGTGAATGAGTTTAGAAAATTCAACAAGATGCCTGACGGGTGCGAGGAACACTTAAGCCGGCCACTGAAAGCCTCCAAGCACCTCTCCGACGTTTTGACGAGCGGGTGACAGCACAAAAATTAATGAGCTACAATAAAACAAGCAATACCGGCGCAACACAGTTCGAACGGATAGACTACGAGACTAATTATTTCTAGAATTCAAAAGTGTTCCCCCTTGGTGTCTGCCGGGAAAAATCGAGTACCGTGTGGAAAGCATTGGAGACTAATTGCTGTTGTATCGGGTATTCGCTTAGTATAGCTGCTACTTTAGCGTCATCTCTCGACGGTTGGCGAACCTTTGCTTGGTCGAACCACTGGCAGATTGCAGGCCAGCTGTCCCGATCAAGTGTGACATGTAGAACGTCGTCGTGGCATTGCTTCATCGTTCATATCCCGACCTTGGTTTGAGCGCTTCCAAAAGGGACATTTCAAAGTCATGAATCACTATTTAGAGAGCTGAATGATACGTAATCTATAACTCGCAAGAATTACGTTTCCCAATGACGACAATCGGCCTTTGCAAAGGATCTGCCGCTGACTGGTTCAATGGAAAAGGGTTCCTGGAATCTTCCTCTCCCAATTTCTTCTGTATGGAATGATAGTTTTTTGTTGCAAATGCCCGATTATCCCCAATCCCCGTATTCCTCCTATCAATCATAATGAAACTTAACACTTGATGAGTGCTGTATGATATCTTAGGAAAAAACCATTCCTCACGAACCATACTTTCTCCAACTATGTCGTAATTGGCGTCCCAATTAGGCACAGAACGTGATAGATATAATGATAGCTGCACTGTAAAAAAAAAAAAAAACCTTTGCGTTATCGGCAATCCAACGAGAACGGATATCGGCCCTAATCAGAGGGATAATTGGATGACAGGCTGACCAGTCTGCCATTGACCCTTCTAGTTCTGGCGTGACGGAAAAGTCGCATATTTTTTCGCGTGTTTTTCAGGGCTATATAGGAATATACAACCTCTTGGCGGGACGTCTGTGACCTCTTCTGAAATTCCACTTAATGTACGTGGGTGAATGTGTGTATATGTCTGTATATGTCTTTGTGTGTGTGCGTGTGGACTTGTGCTTGGGCTTGTGCGAGGGTTTATTGTTACGATGACTGGGCCCGATGTAAATTTAAATTTTAATAATTTGACAACATTGACGAGCCCATGAAATGAAACAGTGATATATTTTTTTAGGTCCGCCCCTCATTTAACGATGCAACAATCCTTGATTCTCACTTGCACTCTCATGAATGTAAAGTGAGATTTCACAAATTCCTAATAAAACCTCAAGCTGTTCTCATGAATCTCGTAGGACCAGATTTAACCTTTGTGAGGTCTCAAACAGAACCTCATGGAAATAGGAGGGAAATATTAAAGGGGACCATATGAGATCTCATGAGATCTCGTGAGGTCACACGGCAAACTCCAGATTTTCATGTGACTTTTTCAGGAAGGGGGACTCTTCATGCGCAGAACATAAGTACTCGCAATCATGCACTCTCCTACTACGTCGTAATACGTCGTAATTGCGAATACGTTGGAGTCACAATTCGGCAAAGGTAATGATGGATATAAAGATAGGTGCAATAAAAGTAGGCCATGTTTGTACTGTCGAGAGAGCGAACGAGGACGCGTATCAGGCATAATCATCGACATAATTTCATGACACGGTGACCGGGTCTTTCGCCGCGCACGAAAGGGAATAAATCCCGAAACAATGTCAAGCACTGAGGTTTATTTAGTGTTGATCGAACGATTCGCTTGAGTATTTTGCTCTGAGCCAATTAGTGTCACGCATCGACCTGGAGTCTCCACTTGCATCTACCCGGAGGAGGCTGCGGTTCGAAGACGTGAAGGGTTACCTGTCTCTTCGTCTGGTTGCTTTGCTATCTTTCAAGTGCTAGTTCTATTCATCAGATTAGGCCTAGGGAAAGATGAATATTATAATAGGTGCCATAAGTTAGGCCATGTTTCCTTTATCGACAGAGCGATAATTGCATGCCATGTTGATCTGACTCCTATATCGACGGGGGCGATAGGGAATAAAGCTCGAAATGATGTCGAGCACTGGAGTCTAGTGTTTAAAGAGGAACCCACATGGGTTTTTGTTCTGAGCCCCTTAGTATAACGAGCTGACCTGGAGTTTCCACTAGCATCAACCCAGAGGAGGCCACGGTAGGAAGATGGCACGGGTAACCTGACTCTTCGTCTGGCTATTTTGGACGATGACGAGAGGCATCAAAACCGCACAGCAAGCCGCAAGCACTAATAGCACGCATTTTCCTCCACCTGAGATTCAGTTGTATGTCGAGGTCAATTACGGAGGCATCAGTCCGGCTTGAGAAGGAAAATATTATTGACAGTCATGCTTCCTCGACTTCTTTGATTTCCCCCACAAAACTGCACTTCAGCTCTCCAAAAACAGGCTGAAATAGGTGAGTGAGGCACTAAGTGAGCGAGATCAGTAATGCACACTCCTCAAGAACAAGGAAGGCGAATTTAACACACTCCTCTGTTCCACAGCATCATCCAAGAGAGGCAATTCCATCCCTTTTATTGGGTGCTACAGTTTTATATCGTGACCTCACGGTTTTTTTTTTCATGCATGTAATGTAATCTTGGGACAGTCAATAAAAAAATGAATTCACATCTTTACTGGTTTTCGTAAATCCGCTTTTACCCAATAGACGCCAGATTCCATCAAAGTTAGTGTTTCACTCGGTGCCCGTATACCAACATGTTACAGGCGGGTTAGGGACTTCGTATATACAGTTATATGCCAGGTTGTGTACTTCGAAATAGCTTCACATCATGCAGAAAACATCAATTAGATGCCTTTGCACCATATTTGCACAGCTAGTGATAAAGGGTTAATAGACCTCAAACATGGTCTTCACCATCATTTGGTCATGTTGGATGCTGAACAGCTTCAGTCAGCTGTCTATCAATGAATATCCCGAATGCAAGCAACCATAGACAAGAAGAGAAGTGACATTCAGCAAATGTGTGATGGCCATATCCGATGATCCTACATTCCTCTTCCCCACGACCCCATTAGTGTCAAAATCAAATATACTACTGACAAAAAGTTTAGCAACTCTGTCATTTTCTAGAACAAAAGAAAATATCAAACTTCGGGCAAGGGAACTGGGTTATGCATTTCATGAATCTTTTCCTTTTTTTGCTTTGCTTTTATTTTTAAAAAGAGAAATACTTGTTCAACTCCTCATTATCCCCCCCCCCCCCCCCCACACACACACACACATACGCTATGGCACTGATGATAGGCGAGACAGGAAAGTTCGGTAATCCTATTAGTAATCGACATGGTCGGTCACAAATCTCCCCCCCTCAAATGAAATATTCTTCCTTCGTACTGCGAACTATTGAGACTCCTGCGCAATCCGGAACGTTGTTGACAAGTAAGTGTATAACAAAAGGACCATCAAATATACCGACTAGTTACGCGAACGGTCGATATTTGAGCAGCTGGTGCTTTCATTGCCGAAGGAGCGTAAATATTTTCCCCATATGTTATATTGACCCATTCGCCTGCTTTTAAAAATACTCTTGCCTTTCGGATGCTACAAGAAACATCTGCCTTCATATTCATTTTTTTCTCTAGGGGCTTAAAAAGAGATAGAATTTACCATTCAAGAAAATTCAAAGCATATAGGGTGGTTAAAAAAAAACGCTCAACAGTTTTCTGTGGGAGAAACACAGTTGCATAAATGCAGCAAAAAAATTACATTGGATACCCGACCGATATTTGATAGTTACAAAGTGTTGAAACGCTGCCAGCTTTTTCCACCACCCTTGCCTAAGTCGTGTAATGCCCATTTATAGGTGAATTAAAGGTGCTTAGAGGTGGATCACTCCATCTCAAATGAAGTGATTACCTGTGCTAGACCGTCTCAGAATTCAATGAACTTTTCAACTTTAACTTTTGAAGGGACAGTTGGATCAAACTGATACTTGCCAGAGAGGTTCATGAAACTAAGGGGTTTTTTTCTCTTCCGCAAGATTGCGCTGTCGCCCATAAAGGGGGCGCTGTTGTTGACCGGGTGACCGAGGGTGATTTAAAATAAGGTGTAATGCTGCACCTGTAAACTGTGAAACAGGACAATACATGGCTCAGGGAATTGTTCAGAAAAATAGGCAATCTTTTCAACACCTCCTATATGTCCAATATCAAGAGTTTATGAATATTACTAGCGGAGCCCCATGCAAATTGCGCGAAAGTACAATTTCCAGATTTTACCGCAAATAATATCCTGAAGGTATATGGTCTAAAGGAAAATGTTTTGAACTCCACCATAGAACAGTAGCTATAGAAATTTTGTCTCTTGTATTTTCAAATCAAAACCTATCGGAACACGACATTCATTGTATAGGTGCCATGCCTGGGTATCGGATTCATCATGGAATTGCCTGGGTATCGGATTTATCGAGGTCCAGGCTCTATCTTCAGATTTAGCTCCATTTCGCCTATTTCTTTTTGGTTTTTGTTGAACTGTGAATAAATGATTTAGTCACCTAAAAAAAAAACGTGTAAGCACGTAATTAAACGCGCACGTTTTTGTAAACATGTTATTTTAACATGCTGCCAACCATTTTATGACTTTAGACTATTGAGTAAAAAATGCAGCTCTGTAGTTCCATGTTTTATTCTCAGGGAATAAATAAAGAATTCCAAATTTTTATGAGTAAAACAACAGTCGTTTTCCCTATTGGAGGAACCCAGGAGGAGGTTAGAGCCCTGCACCGGCTGTGGTCTGGCCCGATCGCCCCCTCCAGACCCGACCCGACCCGTGGGCCGTCTAGGGACGAATTGTTCAAGATTCATTTTCAGGTTGAGCAGGGCGGAATTTTAACATTTAAAGGTTATCGTTCTTCTGGTCTATGACCATGGAAACTCCGTGTCATAACTAGAATCTTACTTATGCAAGTAATCTGTGAGCAGGAATAATAAATTGTTTGACCATGAATAGAAATATTGAAACTTTGAATTTTAGACGAGCATGGGACAATTAGTGCCTTGTAAGCAGGGGTTCTTAACCTGGGGTCCGTGGATCTGGGTCTAGAGGATCTAGGGGGTCCGTAGCTGCGAAAAAAGTTAAGAACCCTTGCTTCTAAGGCTCTTTTTCTTCCAGGAAATGTTCTCCTGTCAGTCGACTACCGATGACCTCCTTTTTTTGTAAAACAACTTGAAATTATGAGGAAATACACAGAAAAACATAAACTAACCGTGAGGTTGGATTGGAATTCGGGTTTCGGATCGGGAGCGGGCCATGATTCGAATTGGGCCTATCGCGTACCGGAAAACTGGCCCGTGCAAGGATCTACCG